ATTACAGGAGGGAGGTCCCCACTGCCACCTTCCACAGCTCCTTGTGGATGCCCATGGCCAAGGCCTTGGGGGCCTGGAAGCTCCCAACCTTGGCAACTTGCTACGGAGGTGCCAGCCACGCACTGCACGCACGCGCGCTGCAAACGCGCTGCACACACACGAGACACACGCGCGTGCAAGCGCTGCACGCCTGTTGCATGCTGCCCCATTGCATGCATGCACATTGCGTGCACGCTGCATGCACGTGCACGCAGTGTGTGCACTCGCACGCACGTATGCTGCATGCACATGCATATACACTGCTGTGTACACGCATATACTATACATATATATAAAAATATGTGCGCGCTTTGCACACCCGCTATATGCACCCACACTGCGCGCTCGCTGCGCGCACACACCCGCTTCCTCTTTCAGCCACACCAATCAGAAGCCTGTTACTAGGCAGAGTTCAACTMGCCCCCGACCACTCAGAAGCCCAGCCCCGCTAGTATCCGGGTAGGAAACCAGCAACCGCCAATCACATTAAAGAAGAGCGCAGTATCCGGGCAGATCGGCGCTGCCACAGCCAATCAGAAAAAAAAAAAAAAAAAGCGAGCGGGGCCCGCGGGCGCGTCCCGGCGGGGTGCACCACTTTCGGTTCCTGTTGCGCGTGGGGCAGCGGAGCGGACCGAACCGGACCGGCCTGGCATGAGGGCAGGGCGGGCGGGCTCCGGCTGTAGCCGCCCGCAGGTGGGTGCGGGCCGGTCGCCTCGGTTCCCCCCGGCCGGTCCGGAGGGGCCGGKCCGGTCCGGTTCGGCTCGGTTCGGGTCGGGTGGGGAGGGAGCATCCAGCGCGTTGCCGGTGCCCTCGGGCCTGGCCGTGTCCGCAGGGACCCGCCGTGGCGGTGCCACCTCCGTGCTGTGTCCCGCTGTCCCCGTGGGCTCCCGCTGTCCCGGCGCCCCCCACCTCTGGGTCCCCATGTCGGTAGGGACCTGGTGCCCCATGTCCCCCACGGTCCCTGTGCCCCACGGTCCCTGTCCCCGCATCCCGGCACTTGTGCGGACTTGGTGTCCCAGGGTCCCCCGCGTCCCTGTCCCCTTGTCCGTGGACACCTGGTGTCCCCATGTCCTCTTGTGCCTTTGGGTGCCGAGTGGCGCCCAGCATCCCCGTCCACAGGGGCCTGTCCTTTGCGTCCCTTGGCTCCCCATCCATCATCCAGGTCCCTTTTCCCGGGATTTCCCCGCTTCCCGGCGCCGCTGGGYGCCCCGAGCAGTGGGGACAGGGCTGAGGACGGGCAGAGCTGACACGGGACGGGTGCTGCCCGTGCCTGTCGGTGCCTCGGCATCTCCGCGGGGTTTGCGTGCCCGTCCCCAAGCCCTCGGCMTCCCTCCTCCGGCAGCAACCAGATGTCATGGCTGATGACGAAGCGAGCGCCCGAGCCACCCAGAAGGGGAGCTTGTCACCCGCCAGCCCCCGGAGCAGCCCGAGCAAGTCCAACACGCTGCTGCAGAAGCTCAGGAGCACCATCTCGTAAGGACGGTGCTCCCCGTCCTTGGAGCATCTTCCCTTCTTCCGCGGGGCGCTAACGAACGCAGGCTCATGCAATAAGCTGGAATAACGCGCCGCCTTGGGCATCGACAAGATGCCCATGGTCCAGTGCCTGCAGCTTCTTGTGCTGGTGGTGGGACCGCTAGGTCCTGTGCTGGGTGCTGCACGAGCACAGAACGGAGCCCCACAGCGGGTGCAGAGCAGCTTGGCCAGAGCAGGCGGCTGGAGACGCTGTCCCGGGYGCGGGGCCGCCGTCCTTCTCCGCGTTGATGGCTTTTTTGTCTCTCTCCCCCGCAGCAAATCTGTGCAGAACAAGGTGGACTGCATCCTGGTGAGCACCTCTGCAGCGGGGCAGCAGGGCATGGCGTGGCTGCAGTCCCCTGACACGCTCCCGCCTCGCTTCCAGTTAAACTGGGTGTTGATTTTTACCCAATCCATTGGGTAAAATCCGCTGGGATTTTACTGCCCAGCCCTGTCGTGGGGACCGGAGGGACAGTGCTGTTGAAAGAAGCTGCTGCTTCTGTGGGATCCTCAGTCTGTCTCTGTCTCTGGTCCTTTCTCCCCGCGGACCCTTTGGCCGCAGCAAGATGTGCAGAAATTCTCCGACAACGACAAGCTCTACCTCTACCTGCAGCTGCCGTCGGGGCCGAGCCTGGGGGAGAAGAGGTGGGTGCCAGGGTAAAACAGGGGCTGTGTTTGTGAGCTTGGCTGGGAGAGCAGGAGCCCTTGGGCTTGAAGGAGGCCAGGAGCGAGGGCTGCCACGGTGCTCATCTTCTGTCCTGCTCTGCTGCTCCTGCTAAACGTTTTCTTCTTTGGATTGCCTGTTTTTTATCTTTTTTGGGGGTTGCTCTGGAGCAGCAGCAACCTGGATCTGAGCTTGCTGAGCGCAGCCGAGTACATGCACGCGTGCAACTGGATCCGGAACCACCTGGAGGAGCACACGGACACCTGCCTGCCCAAGCAGGACGTCTACGACGCCTACAAGTGAGTGTGGGGACAGCACGGGGACGCCTGGGTTTGTTGGGGAACCTTTGCCCGCTCTTGGGGCTCTAAAATGGGCCCCATCAGCATGAAAAGAAAAGGGGAATCTGGAGGGGCAATGAGAAGGGCTTGGTGGTTGCAGCTTTCCTTCTGGCTTTGGCTCCATGGCAGGCGATACTGCGACAACCTCTGCTGCTGCCCTCTGAACACTGCCAGCTTTGGGAAGATCATCCGGGAGATCTTCCCGAACATCAAAGCCCGGAGATTGGGAGGCCGCGGGCAATCGAAATATCCTTGCACCCGCGCGGGACGCCCTGGGAGCCGCTCCCCGCGGCAGCTGCACGGGATGGCAAGAGCTGCTTGTGCCTGGAGGGCGTCCAGCTCCTGCTTCTTCAGCTCCCCGTTCCAGCCTGGTTGGCTGAGGGAGATCGCGAGGGTGCCTGGAAATGACRTGGGGTTGGCTCAAGGGTGCCAGGATATGCAAGGAGCAGGGAACAGCCCAGCTGGGCTTGTCACAGGCTGCTGTCACCGTCACAAAGAGGAGTCCAGGCGGCAGCCGCTTCCCTGCAGGTTGCCGCCTGTAGCTGGAAGGTGTTGGCCGGGTCTGTGTGACACTGAGACACCTTAACGCTGCCAAACGTACTGCTACAGCGGGATCCGGAGGAAGACAGTGGTGAGCCTGCCTCCCCTGCCCAGCCTGGACCTCAAAGTCACGGAGACCGTAAGTCCTCGGGTGCCCTGGTGGCTTGAGTGTCACCAGCTCAATGTCACAGCTGATGAAGGCCAGTGGGTGGTGATGGGGAGCCCTCTTCATGGTGCTCCTGGGGGTCTGCTTTGTGCTGTCCCGTTAGTTTCCAAGGTGGAAAGGGGACTTGTGTCACTGASATGTACAGGGCGGTGACTTGCTGGGGACAGCAGGACCTGGCCCCGTGGGCATCCGGGGTGCCGGGATGCTCACGCCGTGCCCTGCCCGCAGCAGTCGGAGCTGCCGGAGCTGGTGCAGTCCTACGGCAGCGAGGTGATGGAGGCGGCCTGCACCTTGACCTGTCACTGGGCTGAGAAGATCCTCAAGCGCTCCTTCAACAGCATCGTGGAGGTGGCGCAGTTCCTCATCCAGCAGCACATCATCAGCTCGCGCTCGGCCGGCGCYGACCTCGTCATGGCCATGGTGGTCTCAGGTGGGTGCGCTGGAGCCGTGGGTCCCACAGCACGTGCCCAGGTTGCTCCCAAAATGCGCTCGCTCGCTGCAGAGCCTCCTCGGGGTCCCAGGGGAGCGTGGATGTTTGGGGCTGCAGGCAGCGGGGGCTGATGCCGCAGGGGCCRCCCCTGGAGCGGCCGTTGCCGTGTCCCCCGTTGCGCGGAGGGGCTCCGGGAGCGCCGCTCTCCACGTGGCCGCCGTGCTCGCTTTCCCAGAGGGCCCGGAGAAGGYCTCCCGGGACAGGCAGTCCCCGCTGGCAGCCAGGAAGAGCAGCCCGGAGGCCTCGGAGGGCAGCGACAGGAGCCAGGGCCAGGTGAGACGTGGCTCCGCAGAGCCCTCGGGTGGCCCGGCCACTGGTGTTGGCGGTGGGTCCCTGGCCTCTTACCTTGGCATGGGAGGATCCTGCCATCCTGCTCCGGGATGGAGGGAGATTGGATCCTCAGGCACAAGCAGGGAAGGTAGCGGGAGCAGGCCGGCCTGGGCAGGGTGCCGCCTGGCTGCCACCTCCCCTGGCATCACCTCTGTGCCCGCAGAGCAAGAAGGAGGCTGTCCCCAAGGCCTCTGTCCTGCCCCGTCCCGAGAAGAAGAAGCCGCCGGAGCCGCCCCGGCCCGTGAGCAGCTCCCAAGTGGACGCCCTGGTCGCCCGTCTGCCGCTGCTGCTGCCCCGCGTCCCGCCGGGGGACCGGCTGGTGGCGCCG